CTAGGAAAGCACTGTGTCACTTCCAGTACCCCATGTTTTCTGCCTAGCTGTTACCTGAGGGGTAGTCTCCCTTTGAGTGTGGAAAGTTCGAGGAGAATAAGTATAAGAAGAGACTGTATACTTGTAGATTAATACTGAAGGAGTTGTAGGAGTTGTAGGAAAGGGATTTGGTTGATGCAGCTCCAGAAAAAGAGACTCTTTCTTCAAGCAACTCCTGCTCTTCCACGGACTCAAGCATATTGGTTTTCAATCTGTAAGGGTTTGTTTGTTTGTTTGTGCAGGTCCTGGGGCTTGAACTCAGGGCCTGGGCACTGTCCGTGAGCTTTTGTGCTCAAGGCTAGCACTCTACCACTTGAGCCACAACTCCACTTCTAGCTTTTTTTGCAAGGGGGGGGGGCAGTTATAGATAAGAATCTCATGGTCTTTCCTACTTAGGCTGGCTTTAAACTGTGATCTTTAAACTGTGATCCTCAAGTGTCAACCTCATGAGCCCCCGCCCTGGGCCCTTCCTTCCTTCCTTCCTTCCTCCCTCCCTCCCCCCCCCTCCCTCCCTCCCTCTCCTCCCTCCCTCCCTCCCTCTCTCTCTCTCTCTCTCTCTCTCTCTCTCTCTCTCTCTCTCTCTCTCTCTCTCTCTCTTCTTTTTCTTTTTGTAGGTTGTGGGGCTTGAACTCAGGTCCTGGGTGTTGTCCCTGAGCTCGTTTTGCTCAAGGCCATTGCTCTACCACTTTGAACGACAACTCCAGTTCCAGTTTTCTGATGGTTAATTGGTGATAAAAGTCTCACCGACTTTCCTTCCCAGGCTGACTTTGAACTGCAATCCTCAGATCTCAGCCACCTGAGTAGCTAAGATTATAGGCATGAACTATAAGCACCCAGCTTTTGTATTTTTCTTATATGCAAGTGATGTATGATTTCCTGGTAGTTAGATCCTTTAAAAATGGAAATGTGAATTTTACATGTATTTGTGACCTCACGGTACTTTGTATGTTAGGCATTCAAAGTTAGAAATTATTTCTACATACTTATTGAATATTTATAGCATATTAAACCATCTTAGGCATTGGGAATCAAACATAAATCCTTGGAATAATAAGTATAATCACGTTAGCTTTATTATTTGTGTAAAAAGAGATGCAGTATACCAAATTAGAGAATAAAAGAAAGTAAGTTTGGAGGATAAATGATCAATTTTGATTTTGATCAGTTGAGTATGAAGGACTGGATGAGGAATTTCTAGCAAGTGATTTAAATGATGATTCTGGGGATGGGAGTAGCAGAGCATTTGCCTACCATGTTTTTTTGTTTGTTTGTTTTTTGGTTGGTTGTGGGGCCTGATCTCTGGGCTTGGGCGCTGTCCCTTAGCTCTTCAGCTCAAGGCTAGCTCTCTACCACTTGAGCCACAGCACCACTTCTGGCTTTTTCTGCTTATGTGGTGCTGAGAAATTGAACCCAGGGCCTCATGCATGCGAGGCAAGCGCTCTACCCCAGAGCCACCTTCCCAGCCCTGCCTGGCATGTTTAAGAACTAAGTTCAATACCATATAGGATAAATAATAAAATAAATAAAAGGTGAACCTGGTTTGTTGCTACAGATTAAATGTCTCCATGTTATCCTTAGCAAAGAATATTTCAACATTCTAGATTGTCCATTCATCTAAAATTCCCTGTATTGTCTCCAGAATCCAAAAGAGAATCGAATCATTAAGAATCATTGAGAGTTGTCAAGAAATTTCATCTTCCTCCCTGAAATTTCCTGATGTCTTTAGAGGTATTATTTATAAGCTCTTTCTCATCTTATGTTGTATTGTTTTCTCTTGTCTTCTTTTCTTTTCCTCTTCTTCCTGTTTCTCTTCCTCTGTTCTCCTCCTCTGCCCTCTGTTATTCTGTCATTTCTCTTTCATTTTGAAACTGTCTTGCTATATTGTCTAGTCTGGTTTTGAACTCTTGGACTCAAATGATCCTCCTACCATAGTCTCCTCAGGCACTAGGATTGTTGGCATGTATCAACATGCTCAGTTATATCTTTCTATTTATTTTGTTTGTAGTTTTTGTCTATTTGTGTGACATTTTTTCTGTCTGAGTTGTGCACAAGCAACAAAAGACTTGTAACTCATAACTTGATAGCCTTTTTTTTTTTTTGCCTTTCCTGGGGCTTGAACTCTGGGCCTGGGCAGTGTCCCTGATCTCTTTTTGCTCAAGGATAGCACTCTACCACTTGAGCTGCAACATCACTTCCAGCCTTTTCTGTGATCAATTGGAGATAAGAGCCTCATGAACTTTTCTGACTGGGCTGGATTTTAACTACAATCCTCAGATCTCAGCCTCCAGAGTAGGTAGGATTACAGGTGTGAACCACCAGTGCCTGGTTTATGGACTTAGAGTTTCTGAAAAACTGAATGTGAGAGAAGGATAAAGAACATAGTTTTCTATTTCCTTAGAAAGGTACTTCCAGGGCTTAATTCAGTCTAGTCACAAACTCTGGACAATCATCCTTAGGATTTATGAACAGGCAACCAAACTAGACACAAACCCTTAAAAAATCACTTAATATAAACATAGCTCATTTTTTCAAATCCATGGTCTTTATAGGAACTTGGGCTGATAGGTCTTACTCATGTTCTACTTAATTTTCAAAGCTTCCCTGATGTGATTCCACACTCTTCATTATTTCTTACTACTAAAAACAACTAAGCCACCAAGTTCCCATTAGGCTGCTCCATGCGCTTCCCTGCAATGTTCTGCTCAAATTCTGCATCCTTTAGGGAACTGCTACCCCAAGCTTCATTGACTTCCATTGTCTCTAAATGATGGGTTCCACATCTACATCTGTACCTCCATTTCTAACTGTCTACATAAAAAAGCATAGCAGTACCCCATCCTCAACGTGTACCCATTCAGGCCTTAGATATTGTTGATCATACTTATAAGTTGAAAGAAGAGGTGAAAGATGGCAGTTCCTCCAACTTTGCTCTACTGTGGATCCATACCAATTTATTTTGTTTCTGATCTTATGTAGATAAATCTCACCACCTTTATGAACTAGAATGTCACAGTAAAATCACAATAAAATCATTAATGACTTAACTTCATAGATGAAGAAGTTAAAACACCACTCCCAAGAGCGGAAGTGATTTAAATAATGTATTAGCATGTATTTTTCATTATCCTCTACATTTACTAGTACAATTTTCTTGAGGAAAAGTATTATTGTATTTTGTGCATTTTTTCTATCTATAGTATCATCACTTGGTTTTAATTTGTGTTCCACACAGGATCAGGAATGGGGCTGGGCACACAGTGAGTGCCAAGGAAGGAATGTTTGGATTGAACTGCATCCCTGCAGAATGTGAACTATTCAGAACCATTGAATTTGCACTTGCGTGAACCCCTACCTGACTTAGATTGGCCGAATTATCAGTGAACAGCAATGAGCCAGAAGACACATTCCAAGTGTGTAGTCTTGTTTGCTTACCTAAATTATAAACACCACTTTATAATGTGCAACACAGCACCATGAGCTATGTTAATCACAGAGCAGACTGTCATTAAATATATTTTAATTGGTTAATCAATTGTAGATCAAAAACCAGAGCTGGATCTGTGTTTCACACAGCAGTTAGAATGCCTTTGCCAAAAAGAAAGCCTTAGGCTGTTGTAGACAAGCACTTATTGGGCTGAGAAGCCACTTTGCATGTAACGCCTGGCTTTTAAATTGGCCTTGACGACTGGAATACTTCGCTGCCTTTTTGGCATCCAAGAATCATTTTGATAAGTACTGCAATAATGGTTATGTTAGATGATTAATTATTGAGTACTTACAGCAAAAGGATACATTAAAAAAAGCACAAGCTGTAAGATGTTAAGATAGAATGAATTTATTTTGGTTTGCCCACAATGAGACTTCTACTCCCCTCGGGAACACTTTTAAGACCATTAATTTTGCCTGAATTAGTAGTGCAACTGGTAGTCAGTAATGAAAGCACCCATCAGAGAAGACCATGAGGACACAGTCACATACCGGAGAAGGGGCTTATCAGAGGGGCTGACAAGGCCATCTCCATCACAGGAGAGGGAGCAATTTGGCTTCTTTCCCTATTCAGGGGCATCAATGTAACATTGGTGCTAGAGATGGGAGGTATTCTGCATGGACAGCTAAGTCTGGGTGGAGAGTGGGGGACCTATCCTGGGAGAGTTCTAGGGTAGGGTGGAGTTCAGGTCTGGGTGGAGACTGTTGAAGTGGGAGGAGCTGAAGGCCTGAGAGGGAGGGCACACTAACAATAGATGAGAGCTAATGTTTGGGCTGGGAATGTGGCTTGGGGTAGAATGCTTGCCAAGTATGCATGAAGCCTGGGTTCAATTCCTTTGCACCACCTAAACAGAAAAAGATAGAAGTGGCGCTGTGGCTCAAGTGGTAGAGTATCCAGCCTTGAGCAAAAGAAGTTCTGGGACAGTGCCCAGGCCCTGAGTTCAAACCCCAAGACTGAGGGGAAAAAAAAAGTTAATATCCATGAGCAGAATTGGATCCTGGATTTGGGATTATTTGCACCAAATGAATATAGCTAGTTTATCTACCAAAAGCATAGTTTAGCTATTTCTACTTTTCATATTTGGTCCTCACGACTGTCTTTATTTTTAAAAGAAAGAGAGGTTCAGTCGAGGTACTTGCAGAATTCTGTACTTGAGTTAGTTTAACTTCCAAATGGAACCATCTCTAAAGAGGAAGGGGACCACTTATTTGTAGTATTAGCCTGATTTTGGTGATGAAAATATTTCACTAAGGGCATGCAGCAAATGGGCTTAAAAAGAAAAGGAATCCAAAATTTTATGCTTTATTATTCAACATTGTAATTTTTCTCTTACCCTTTTCTCCTAAAGGGATCTGGTATCTAGTCGGGGATAGAAGTAAGTCAAGAAACAGAATGAGATATTAAAATATTTGCTATTGGAGATTCCTTTTCTACACTAGTTCTAGAAAGAAAATCCTAGGCTGCGGTTAGAATAATGAGAGCAGACATCCAAGCAAGGTCAGCGGGACTTGTAAATTTCGATTTGAAGTTCCATGAACTATGTTCCTTCTCATGGATTCATTGGCTAATTAACACTGGCCACTTCTGGCTTTTTTTGGTGGTTAATTGGAGTCTCACAGACCTTCCTGGTGGGGCTGGCTTTGAAACACAATCCTCAGATGTCAGCCTCTTGTGTAGCTCCTAAACTTAGCTGGGGGAGATTGAGAACATGCTGAAGGCCAGGACTCTGAGTCAACAAATGCATTGAGATGTTCTGCCTCTTTTTCAGGGTTCAGATTGCCACACCAAAGGCTTCAGAAACTACCCCAATTAAACTCTGGAAACAAAACACTGATGATGGTGACTTGGTAAGTGAGTAATAAGCATTCTGGTGTCAGCTTTCTTTTGGGTTGCTTAGGATACCTTACAAATTGGCTCTATAAACTTCCTATTAGAAAGCAAAAAGGAGTAAAATATCTACATAAAACAAGGTTAATTTATCTCACTTAGTGAAAGAAAAATAGAGGCATGGAAGTGAGAAATACACACACACACACACACTCCAGAAACACAAAAAACCTAGGAACTAGAAACCTATTTTGGGGACTTTTAAACCCAGACTTACCTAGACTTCAAGCCTACTTCTTGTGCCAGAATTCCATTGCTTTCCCAAGATTATCATATTCAAGTGAATTTTCCGGATCAACTTTCACTTCAACTGCCAGTGATAATTCAAGTCAACATAACAAAATTAAAAACATATTCCAATTTGAACGTTCTTGTAAGTTTAAGTCAACTGCTGGGAGATAATTTGGGAACGTGAAGCAATACCTCAGACAACTTCAGAAGTTAAAACATTTTCCTTAGAGAATTTCCCTCCTAAAAATATAACAAACCTTTAAGAGAATAACTCTTCATACCCCAAATGAAATATTCCTAGACTTCTACTGATTATAAATAAATTCCATGTGTTATAGTGGTGAAGAGGGTTTTTAATACATTTTTGTTTTGAGCACATAGACTTGTTTTCAAAAGACAATAGAAATAAAAACATTGTATCTATGGACTGATACCATATTTCAGCTCATCTTTCCTAAAGGAGCATATGGAGTGACTAGGTCATTGCTTTTCTGGTGTTTTATCCAATCCTCAAGAATGCCCACTGCGAGCATTTTCCTCCTGTAGCATAATAATGTTACCTCTCTCATGGTTCTGTTCCTTTCTTAGTACTTCCCTTTCTCCATATGCCTTCTTGTTTTATTCACGTCTAGTGCATATCTCCTATCCTCTGCACCCCATCATATACACTATCTCCTTGGGGGACATGGCAAGCTTTAAAAAGGTGGATCCAAAGACAGGATTGTGCTTTCTTCTTTTTCCTCCCTTAATTTCAGAGCTTTTTATCTACTTGTGTTTTTCTACCTTTGATTCATCCTTAGACAACTTAAAGCTAAGCAAGCCGAGAGGCAGCAGTTCAGGGAGCAGCAGGAAGGCAATGGAAGAGACCTAGCAATCTTCACTGCCAGACAGGACACCAATAGTCCATAAATCACCAGCACTACCTCCAGTACAACAAGCAGAGTGGCAGACAGCAGATACCGATTCTTTTTCACATTGTCTCTGGATGAATCATAATTTGCAGAGATCTTTTTTTAAAAAATTGCAAAATGTGCATCCTTTGTGAGGGTGCCACTCCCAATTCAGTTGGTAGGATTGTCCTTAGCGACACCCCCCCCCCCCACCTTGTACCCACGACCTTTAGGTTGTTTGTTCTTTTGTTACTTGCTTTCTCCTTCAAGGTTGTCTGCTGCCATGGTGACTGTCTGCCTGATCTGACTCCTGTAGATATGGAACAGGCAGAGGAGAGGGTGGGATTCTATGGAATGATTTGTCCTGGTCTGAATTTTGGTGCTGCCCTTGTCTACTTCACCTTCTAACAGCGTTACCTGACATTTGCAAAGGCTGCCCCAGTTTCCATGTATAAACCTCCCTGTTAGAAGGTCACAGAACCCAGCTCTCCTTGCTGTGACTCTTGTTCCAGAAACCCATGCCCCAACACCTGAGGCACAGTGTTCTCTTAGTGTACACCTCTTTGTAGTGACGACAAGGTGAGGTGATGAGTGGAATGAGGTGCCATTTGAACTGAGAATGTTGGTACATACCTGTAATCCCTACACTTGGAAGGCTGAGGTAGGAAGATCACAAGTTAGAGGACAGCTTGGGCCACAGAGCTAATTCTAGGCCAATCTAGACTCTGACTCAACTAATTAAAATTTTAAAAGATTGGTGTGACTTGAAACCACTAATTCTGATTTTTTTTGTCTTTAGGTTTTTGATACGGTTGGGCCATCAAAATTTACCCTAGAGAACAACCGGTATTACGCAGTCCATCCAAATTTGGTAGGTGGCATCTCTCCCCCAAGACCTCTAAGGGAGTGTCTCAGCAGTGCAGAGGCCACTGCACAGTACTCCAAAAGCCTCCATAACTCCCCTGCCCCCTTCCTTCTAGGACAGGGAGGCAGAGCAACTGCAGAGATTTAGTCTGAGGTCCTACCTGGCATCAGGGTGGTGAAATGGGACCTGGAAGGAAAGTGGTCTCTGCAGATGGGTGTTTTTTGTTTTGGGGTTTTTTTTCCCCCCAGTTGAGAAAATACACTTATCACCAGAGAAGATATTTCGAATCCCTATTCCTCTCTCTCTTTCTAATCCTCCTGTTGAGAGAAAAGCAAACTCTGTGAGACTGCCCCTTCCCCCACCCACACCTTAGGTTACAAGCAGGGTTTCTTGAGGGCCTTTCCTTTCTGAGCTTATGAAGACCTGTTAAAGCAAGAGCCTGAGGAGAGGTGTTGGTGGGTGGGTGGGAAGACAAATAAAGGAAGCCTTGAGCTATGGTCCCTGTGTGGAAAGAAGGCCAATCAGGTAGAGCCACATAGAAACTACTTAGTTTCTCTCACTCTGTTGGGCATCACATTATACAATTTTTAAAAAAGATAATTTATTTACAACAATTTTATTTGTGTGTGGGGTGGAGGGGACAGTATGTACTGGGAATTAAACCCTTAATCTTGCACATTTTTGGCAAGTGCTCTACCACTGAGCTAAATCCCCAGCCCCATTACGCTTCTTTGCAAGACTTCGATCATCTTGTTCCTGTTCCTGTGGAAACTTTTTCAGTTGCATTTCCCTAGCCCCTTAGTTTATAGGCGGGGGAATGGATGTTCGGATTGGATAAGAAAGCTTCTGAAAGTTTCAGATGATACTGAAGATTATGGGTAGATTTGTTCGGCCCTTGCTTGCCTTGACCCAGTTTCTCAGAGGCCAAAGATTAGCTAACTGATCTGCTACTTTTGTCTTAGTCTAATCTTTGTCTCTCTGGAAATCTTTCTGTATCTGCCCAGGCCCTGTACTATGAGCCTTTAAAGCCCTCCTCACTGCATAAGCTTCTGATTCGAAACAGAAATATCACCAGCTTCATGTTCAAACTATCGGAGTTTGATCAGGATATGACCTCACTGATCATGACCAACAACCCACTTCCCAGCTATGTCAATCAGGATAATGATCCAAAATACTTTTCCAGGATGATACTCCAGGTAATGGTCCCTAAAAATTTAGGAGTTCGCTTGGAGAAAGGAGCTAACTTAACCCCAAGCCTCATACTTGAGAAGCTCCCTCTTCTTTCTCATTCCTGGACATAGGTTATCACAAAAGAGAACCTGGAGGGCCTAGGAAACATTTGTAAAATGCAGGGATAATATGGAGTTTTAACTGGAAATTGGGAATCTAATAGGAGATCAATAAACAGAATATATAAACATAATTCTACTATACCAGGATATGTGGATAATCAAAGAATACACAAAATATAGAAGTAATGTAGAAGGGAGAGCTGTGGCTCTGTTTGGGAAAAGGGAATCATAGGGAAGTAACTCACAATAAAAGAATAGGAGAATGTTCCAATCAGAGCAAAGTGTGAAGGCTTAAAGATGGGAGAATGTGAGGTGCTTTCAGAGAGATTTAAGAGAGTAAATGGCAGGAGATAAAAGGGTGTAATCAAATTTGTGTTTCAGGAAGAGTGTTTTGCAGGCTGAAGAAAGGTACATTAGTTGTGGAAAAGACAAGCCCCAGAAAGATTAGTTATGCTATTACTATAATAGTCAAGATAAAGAGATACTAAAGGTTCAAATGAAGTCAGTAACAGAAGAAGTGAAGGGAATTGATTTAAGAGATATTTAGGAAAGAGAACAAAAGAAAGTTGTTGACAGCCCTCAAGGCAGGTTTAGTCTGAGAGGAAAAAAATAAGTAAAAGTGCAAACAAAAGATTATTGGGAGTCGGGTATCCCAAGGCATATCCTTATAATATAATGTGGTGAATTTGGAATTAGTGTTTGTTTAGTTGCTAAATGAATGACTGTATTAGATTCTTCTTCAAGTGGAAGATTGAATGCCAATATCCAATGTTGGCAAAGGAATGAATGACTTCATTGCCTGCCTGTGTTCTCTTGGGTCTCAAATTTGTGTTCTTTGAAGGTAAGCTCAGTGGGTATGTGTCATGCTAGTGGGTATAATGTGCTCTGTGAAACAAATGCCAGGCCAGGACTGTCTCCTTGCTCAATCCAGAGAAGGAAAACAAGGCTAACAGGTAGCCTGGATACAAGAGGAGCTTTGTAGACCTTTGTAGACCCTTGAGGTCAGAGGTAGAACCAAATCATACCCATGAACATATTGTCATATCAATTAAATTGGATTAATGGATGGTAAGGCTCTCTGAATGGTAATATCTAGCATATACAATATCTACGGTGGTTCTTCATCCATATGGTAGCCTCTTCCTTTCCTGAGAATGGCAATCTTTGTTGAACCTAGAATGGAGTACAAGAAAAGCATTAATGTCCAGACTTACATGCTTTAGAAATAGTGTGGGATCTAATAGTCAAACTGTGAAATACATAGATGTTTCTTTCACAGTTAAATGCTTGGCCCAGACACCTTACATTGGGCAATGAAAATATTAAGGCAATGGAAATGGGAGCTAAAATGGTACACAGAGGGAGGCCATAAAAGGACCTCCACGAGGAAGAAGGGCAGGTGGAAGTTATAGGGAAGGAGAGAGGGAAGGAGGAACAGATGGAAATGGTGGGGAGAAGTTAAGGAATGAACAAGAGACAGAGAAAGAAAGCAGACAGGAGGCAAGCAGGAGAGATGTGTTAGTGATATGCCAGGGTCAAAATAAGATGGTGGTCCTTGGGGCCATCATGGATTCTTTTTTTTTTTTTTTTTTTTTGGGTCCGGTCGCGGGGCCTGAACTCTGGGCCTGGGCGCTGTCCCTCAGCTCTTCAGCTCAAGGCTAGCGCTCTACCACTTGAGCCACAGCGCCACTTCCAGCTTTTTTCTTTTTTCTTATGTGGTGCTGAGGAATCGAACCCAGGGCCTCAGGCATGCAAGGCAAGCGCTCTACCACTGAGCCAACTTCCCAGCCCCATCATGGATTCTTAATAACTTTTTTGTTTTCCTTTGATGAGGTTCAGTTCTGCTCTTGTTTTGTCTGGAGTCATTAGCTATGACTTAGTTCCTAGCATATGTTCTGTCATTAAGACACTTATTAATTAGGTAACTTGAATTAGATTCTTATTACTTAAAACTAAAGCTTAAAGAGAATGAGTTAGAATTTTTTTTAAAAAACAGACATAGTTTAGCAACAGCAAGTATGTTTGAAAAGATTCTAAAAGAAAACGCCCAATATCTTGATTGGTCATTCATTCAACAAATATTTATTGAGCACTTACTATGAACAATACACTATTAAAGGATGCTAGTGCTAAATCAATGACTAAGCCAAAGCCTTTGCCTTTATGAAGTTTAAGTGTAGCAAGGTAAACAGACTATAAGCAAATAAATGTGTCAGGTACCAGACAAAGCAGGACAAACAGTAGAATGTAATGATGTATGAGGGGCAGTTTTAGATCATGGGGTTAGCTAAGGCTGTCAGGGGAGGTAACCATTTTGAACAAATGGGGACAAGAGATGTTCCCTGCAATGCAGCACCTGACATTTTGTCTTCATTTCAGACTGCCATATATTAAGGGAAAATAAAGATAAATTTCAATTTTCCCAAGTGAGATAAATTGGAAAATGAGATAACTCAAAGCCATGCTATAAGAAGAAAAGTTCAAGATATTGACTATATTTTAGCCTGGAAGAAATGAAGTCTAGGAGGACAATGATAGATTTATTCCATTTTTTTGAGGTCTGTGGAAGAAGCATTCGATTTTTCTGTTTTGCAGAAAAATAATGATTGGTTAATTGAAAATGAAACTACATTTCTTCTTCTTTTTTTTGGTATAGGAAGAATGAGTGCTTGATTGTGAAATTATAGAGGAGACATGAGTGTCAGTTGAAGAGTCAGACTGGAATTAAGACTCTGAAAGTCTTTGATTCTATGACCTTTAGGAATGATAAAATTATTAGCTTACAAATCCTCCATTTCATGCCTTTCATTGCAGACAGAGAAAGGAAAATGGATAAGGGCAGCAATCACTAAGAAAGGAAGGTAGAAGCTCATGGATCTATTCCCTAATATATTGCCACATATTTGATTCCCAGGTGATTTACTGATTTACCCTTTCCAAAACCATATCCTCCTCCATTCACTTCCAAGGTGTAGTAACTAGCAATGAGGTAAATAAATATTATCCTGGTATCCCAGTTCTCACTTCCCTCTCCCATAGGCTTTGTTGTACCAGTTTAGGGAAATTATAACAGTCCTGAAACTCAGTCCAGCCTTTAAATTCCAAGGGACTCAGATCTCACTTCCTCCTTTACTCTTCTTGCCTTGCCACAGGAGATTTGCTGTCAGCCTAAACCCACTGAGAAAGTCTGCCTACCCAAGATGCCTCAGGAAAAGAAAACAACCTTCCCTTTGAAAAGGATGGACGATTCCACACTCAAGAAAAAACAGTGGTTTAGGTGATGGCAGTGGGCTGCTTGTACTTATTTCTTCTGTCTTGTCTTTATGTTATTCTCTCTTTCTAATACAATTCAACACAAAAGGAGACTCAAAGGGGTTTGGGATAAGTTTGTATTGAAGAGGGAGCAGTGAGAATGTTCTTCACATACTTTTGGTCATAGGGAACAGTCCAGCCATATAACTATAAGACAGTTTCCCTACCTGACCTTCAACCTCATTGAGATGGGGCTGGGAAGGTGGCTCAGTGGCAAAGTGCTTGCCTTGCATGCATGAGGCCCTGGATTCGATTCCTCAGCACCACATAAGCAGAAAAAGCTGGAAGTGGCACTGTGGCTCAAGTGGTAGAGAGCTGAGGGACAGGACTCAGGCCCAGAGTTCAGGTCGCACGACTGACCAAAAACAAACAAACAAAAAATCTCTTTGAGATGCTAATAAAAGAGACATAGCAATGAAAAACTCAAGAAGCCAGTTTCTAGAATGAAGGGAAGGGCTGAATTCTATAGTCTGTGTTCCGAGGACACAAACATACACACACACACACACACACACACACACACACACACACACACACACACACACACACACACACACACACAAGAACAGGAGTAAACTCAGTATGAGTTAATAATTATAGTATCACCTTGACAAAATTAAATTTAAAAAAAGATTTGACTTAGTTCCCACAATAAAATATCCTTGTTAATCATAAAAAATTAGGACAATACAAAGATAAAAGAGGTTTTTATTTGAAACTAGCTATGTAGCTTGGAGAAGATAACAGATTCCCAAGTATCTGGAAGGTTTGCAGTGTCACTTCCCTGGCCACTGAACAACAATCCCACTCTGTACCAATCAACACTTCTCCTTTGGGATCTCTGAGGATGGAATCAGTTTAAAGTGATTGGTGCCATGAACTCCCACTCTAGGATTCCTAAATGGAGTGCATATTTTTTGTTGTTAAGGTTTTCTACTGACAAGGATTTCAAGAGTGAAGGGAAATACTCAGAAGTCTATGCTTTGAAGAAACAGAAAAAACTGTACCCTAAACTGGTCTTTGCTCCAGGCTATGGAAAAGATACTAAGAAAGGAGGTAAGTTCTTTCAATGTTGCACTGACATGAGTACTGGAGATGGATGTGGACCGGACACTTAGGAATTAAGGAAATTAGAAGGTGGGCAAACTGGTATATCTCATGCTGATTCTGGACACCATTTTCCTTGTAGCAGAGAAGTTATAAAGTTCCACATTTTTCTTTGGGATGTTTGGGGGAGGCTAGGATAGAACGGTGTGGAAGAAGGTATAATGAGAATGCTCATCTACTGTCTTATTTAACAACACTTATGGGGTACCTACTAAGTGTTGGTCACTTATTAAGCACCAAAGACAGCAGTTACAGTATGTAAGGTAGATGGACTAGACCAGGAAGGACCTTGGATACTACATAAATACAGGCTCAGCCAACCTCAGTTTCTTCATCCTTACCAGAAGGATCTCTCTCAAGTAAAAAAATATTGGTCTAGGATTACTGACACCACTCTACCTAGCTCCAAGCAAGAGGAAGAAGATCTGTCCTTCCCCCCAAATATGTTTCTTTTACAAATATTCTTTTCAGAATAGTTAAGTAGGAACACCTATGTCTTTCAGGAGAAACTCCATCTTGAAAGTACAGGTTGAGCTCTAGAAGCCAGCTAAGGCAAATATAATAAATTACATGGTACATTTAGTCAAGCTGGAATTAAATCTTAAAGGATATTATTTAAGCTGAGGCACACAAGTCAATCTTAAATTATAATAGGGGGAGCATTTCTCTAAGATCTAGAATCTAATCTAGATTATAATTTTGCTAATTTTGAAAGAACGTGATGTGGTTGATTCACATTTAAAGAGAACACTTAATATCTGTCTGTAGCCTTTTTTGTTGAGAGTTATAGTGACTGCAGTTTCTCTCAAGAGAATGGAGTGCTTCATTTACTTAGTACCTAAAGAGCTGATTATGGTGTATTTCCTAAAGAAAGACAGACCAGGTAGGAAGCTGAACTAGCCGCTGCACTGCAAGTAAGAGATAGCCAACATCTGCACCGCCCCCCCAACACAATGTGTACCAAGTATCTAAGCAAAGAAAGATCACACCAGAAATGATTAGGTGAATGGTGAATTCTAAGACTGTCTATGGGGCAGAACAAAGAACTTGAACTAAGATCATGGCAGTAGGGATAGAGGGACAGATTCAGGGGATATTTACAGGGTAAAATGCATCTCCAGAGTGGAGAGGGGGGGAGAGGTAAGAAGATCTCACAATAAGAATTTCCAAACCACAGGCAAGATTGCAAGAATTTTGCCACTGAAGCCAAAAGAAGAAAAAGTCTGTCAATCAAACGGTCAGACAAAAAACCCAAACAAAACAAAAACAAAAAAGAAACCCCAATATATATTTTGAGAAAAGGCTAAGCACACGAATGTTCAATATGCATTGACTTAGTTAAGAGTGACTTAAGTGTCAGTAAGAATGCAGATAGAATAGTTTGAAAAAGGCGAGACTAAGGAAGACTAAATTGGCAGTGAGTTTGGCTGAGGGAAGGAAAGCAGAATGATAAAAGATGGTTGGGAATGGCAGTCCATGGTCTAAAAATCTGTATAAATTGGGTAAGAGTAAAGAGCAACTTTTCTGGTCCCTTCAAGTGGGTCTTTTCTCTCTGTCCTCTCATTCAGACCCTTTCTAGTACTTTTGGAGGTACACACTGATCAAGATGTCTTGTGCTTAGTCGTAGTTTCCAAGCAGCCAGAGAGCCAAGAAGCACCACGTTCCCAGGATGTTTGGGAACCGCTCACATTTTCGACTCTCCTGGAACAGAAGCCCACCAGGGACGCGCCAGGGGAAAGCACCTTCCGCTACGGAAGGGCCCAGCAGTGGATTATCAAGAAGGCCACTGTCACTAAGCGGTAACAAGCCTTTCCAGCCTCGCCACACTCTCCCATGACTGGCTAGCAGAAGTCACCAACTAAATAAAACAGATTGTTGCTGCTGTGGGCGTGGCTTGCCGCCGGGACCGTGCGGGAGCGGGCGGCTGGGCGGGGCGCGCTCCGGGGCAGTTCTGGCTCCGCCCCATGCGGCACAGGCGGGGAGGAGCAAAGGGCGTGCCTGCGTCCCCAGGGGGCGAGGGCAGCTGCGGCGGCCCGGGAGGGCGGGCCTTGGCCCCGAGTGACAGCCCGTTGGCCCAACCGGCGCAAGAGCACAAGGCCGGCCTTCCTGCAGTCTCTTCCGCTTGCCGTCAGCGCCTGGGACGGTTGCGGTGGGTCTGGGGCGCTGGGAAGTCGTCCAAGATGATTAAAAAATTCGACAAGAAGGACGAGGAGTCTGGTACGCGCAGGGCTTCTGACGCCCACCCTCAGCCACGGGGACCCCCAACCCTCCCTTTCCCTCGCACGCCGCCACCTGCTTCCCGGACTGGCGGGGCTGGGGGCGTGGGCGCCGCCGCGTGAGGGGCCGTCCGCTCCGGCCGGGGGCTTGCCTGTGGCCCCTCCCCCGACTCGAGGCCTCCCCGCGGGCCGCGCGCTCCCGCCCCGCCGCGGGCGCCGCCTCGAGCAGCTCGGCCGCCCCGCCCCAGCCGGGGCCGCGTCCCCGCCCCCTCCCCGCCCTCTCCAGAGCCCCTCGGAGCCGCCTCCCCGAGGACCCCTGACGGGGGGCGGAGGAGCGCTGCGCACGTGTCGGCGGCCGGGGCGTAGGGGAGGGGGTGCAGGGGCGGTGAGGCCCGGGCCGCAGCGCCTAGTTCTCGGGCCTGGGGTCCGGGCCCTGTGTGCTGTGTGTGTGCATTTTAAGTGTCTGATGCTGTTGTCTAGTCTTCTGGTGGGCCTTTGATTCTTGTTTGTTCCCAGGGGCCAAGACCACCTCCTGGGACCCAGCTGATTGAATGCTCAGGCCTCCAGAAATGACTTGGCGTCTTGATACCTACCTGTGGTCCACATGGGGAAGATGGCAAGCCAGTTCAAAAGATATAAATACATAAAAAAGGAGAGAAAGCTCAGTGTTAGCTGGTCTCACAAAGTGCAGTGGAGATTGGGTTAGTGGACCACCATGGGAACTGTTCAGCTCTTGTGAAACTCTTTATTTTTACCTCTTAGTGTTGAGACGTGAAGGGCTTGCTTTGAGGGAAATAAAAAATGCTCTATGAGAATCTTCCTTTGGTTACTGTAAAAATGACACATTTGAAAATTAAATAGGTCATATGTGAAAATTATGTATTTGTAACATTCATGGGGGAAAAAAAGAGGTCAGAATAAAGACACTCATTTGGGGGAAGATTTCTGCCAAACAAAAGCCCAAGATCTAATAGTATAGTGATAACAGAACTCATAACCGGAATCAAAAGGGTTTCCTTCCATTTGTGTGCATATTGGTAATGATTAGCCCATTGATCACCAAATGATCACCTCACTTAGGTGAGCTTTCCCAAGCATTCATTACCCTTCTCTATAAAATTGGTCTTTGTAGGGCAGCTGCTGAGGATGTTCTTTTGTTTGTACTTTAGGTAGTGGTTCCAATCCTTTTCAGCATCTGGAGAAGAGCGCTGTCTTACAGGAGGTATGGTTGGAAATAGTTTGTGCTTTTTCTTTTTAGTTCTGTTTTAGAATAGTAGGCAGAGAACCACTGGGATATTGTGATAAGGAATACAAACTAAGAATGTCGACACTGCTATGGGGAGAGGGTGAAAGATTGAGACTCATTCTCCCAGGGGTTGGAGGAGCAGCTCAGGTGGTAGAATGCCAGCCAATGGGTGAAAATATCAGATGCAGAGTTCCAGTGCTAGTCTTGGACAAAAACAAATCACTCTCCCTAATTTTGTTCAAAAGTAAATAAATTCATTTTCCATTTATGTATTAAAAAAACAAGTAATTCAATTGAGTTCAGAGGCTATAGATGAGGAAAAAGGAATATTTCTTTGTCATAGAAAGACCTCAAACTTAGAAATGCAGACACTGTGTTTTGTGTTAGGAATTTTAAATGTCAGAGGATGTGTTTAGTACTGGTTGTTGGAAGAAGTTACAATACTAAGCTCACTGTGCTCATGGGATGTAGATAAAGATTGGGGTTCTAATGGATAAAGCCCATAAAGCTGAAGTAGTTAATGTAAAAAATGAATTAGAGCCACACTTGACAATTGTATATTACAGTAAACAGAACTGTAGACAGGTAACATTATTTGGATATTGTATTAAAATATTTATTATAAATTTGTGTGATCTATGATAGAAAAGGTAAGCATATACTATAAGAATATTTTTAATATTTCCATAGGCTCGTATATTCAATGAAACTCCCATCAATCCCCGGAGATGCTTGCATATTCTTACAAAGATTCTTTACCTACTCAACCAGGTAAGTTATTTAGATTTTCTTCATATTTGTGTTCCAGAATGAAATATTACCTGAAATGAGGTACTTTCTGGAAAGTATATTTATAAATACACATAGTTTTAAAATCCATGATATTTTATCATAATAGGAACATACTCTTCTTGAGCACAAGAATATATGTTATATATTTCTTTTTAGATTCATAAGGTATTAAAATAAGCAAATAGTAGATTCTTGATAAACATGATTTGAATTTAACATGTACTTGCTGGAACATACGATTTACATTGTACTCTAGTGCTCCCAATTTTTGCAGCATCTTGAATTCAGAGGTTTTTATGACTCTCCAAAAATATAGTGCACAGGTAGATAAACTTATGAGATTTAATCTTTTTTGTATGTAACAGTGATGGCTTTAAGTTTGATTTACTATTTAGATATTTCACTGTTTCTAGCAACATGAATCTGGGTAATTTAACCATGATAGCCTGTGTGTCCTCTTCTGTACTGAGATTATAATGCTTAATAATATAATGAAATAATACATATTAAATATTGAGAATAGTGCTGGACATAGTATATATCTTGAATAGTTTTCACTCAGTTACTTTAGCAAATTTTACTGCATACTTACTGTGTCTTACGTACTGTTCTGGACAGTATAAAGTAGATTCTGTGTTTTATTAGTGTTGCTGTTTTTGTGTTTCCTTAACCGTCTTTGATTCAGGCTGAAAAAATTCACAGAATATAGAGAACTTTAGAAAATATTTGTTTATGGATTTTATATTTATGCACTTGTATGTGTATGTGCACACATGCTTACATATGCCATATATTTCAAGTGGTTTACATGTGATGCCAAGAAGGCTAATTTCCAGTTCTAAGAGAATCCTAAGAGAGCATTTTCTCTTCTCTGTTTTGTGGCTGATGACCTAATCCAGAGATTTAATAATTTTTTGTGGTTTGCAAATGGACACTGAATAAAAAGCATATAATTTAAAATAGACTATATCTGCTCATAAGGTCATTAACTCCTTTGTGGTAGTATATTATATTTAAACTAAAGTCATACAGTGTGTCTTAACTTTCTGTAGTATATGTTGTGCCCAAATTGTCTAGGTCCATTATATAAAAAGAATTTTGAGTAGTCCAAGTTGACTCAGCATATCCCTTCATATTGAATAATACTACTTACATGGAGCACTTCATGCTGAAACACTATAAGGAAATTATCAAGCACAACATAAGCATAATTAATTGCACAAACAAGTTTGGCAACATTCATTTTATTTCTCCCTAGATCATGGTAGGCTTTATGGAAAAACATTTTTAAATTTCTACTACAGTTGAGAGAGCCATGTATTTACTGAGTTTCAACTAAAAAGTTGGGGACTTACATGAAATCTGAAGTTCTGAAAAGAGACTGCACTTATGTAGTATTGCTTTTAATGAAATTAAAACTGTTGAAATGGTAATAGTTTCTGTAGTTTGTGATCTGAAATGTCTTGAATATTAGTGAATAAGTTACCTAACACCACATTATTCAACAAAATATGATTCCCAGTTGGGTGCTGATGACTTATGCCTGTAATCTTAGCTACTCAGGAGGCTGAGATCTGAGGATTGTGGTTCAAAGCCAGCCTGGGTAGAAAAGTCCCCCATGAGACTCTTATCTACAATTAACTATTCAAAAACCAGAAGTGGAGCTGTGGCTTAAAGTGATAGAGCACTAGCCTTGAACATAAGAGCTCAAGGACAGCACCCAGGCCCTGATTCAAGCCCTACAACTGACCAAAAAAAAAAAAAAAAAATAATAATTCCCAGTTCAGCAACATTTGCAAGATCCCTAAATGACTTGTTAATCACATTAAGGTGTGTGAAACTCTCAGCCCATGTTTTTGAGGAATTGGAGCAGTGCTTGGGATAAGTAGCAGCTACTCAAACCTTATTAATAAATCTGGATCCTTCTCTTTTGTTTTGCTTCTTATTGATCCTCATAGATATGACTTTACAGTTGAATATTTATTATGCTCTTATGATACATCAAGCATTGTGCTGGGTGTTGTAGAAATGGATGAAGTATGATCTTTACACTTAGGCGCTGTAATAGTATTATCCTATTCTGATTAGAAACCACTTACTGTCATATTCTCCCTCCTTGTAAGTCCTCTTCAGAGAAATATAAACAGTTTCTGCTAAAAGCTTAGAGACTACTGTTCCAGAATTTCTAAGTGTGCTATGTGATACTGAATTAGTTTAAATAAGTGGATAAATGGCCATCTGGGATTTAAAATTGAAAGCCAGACCGATCACCACCAAAAGACAGAATGTTTATAACAAGACATTTCCCATAGTTTGAACGTTTTTTACGGGAATAAAGGGACGATCCTTAACAACTACATTTTAAAGTTTTAAATTTGTTTTAAATTTTACTCAGGGTGAACACTTTGGAACTCTGGAAGCTACAGAAGCCTTCTTTGCAATGACTCGATTGTTTCAATCTAACGATGTAAGTCTTTTAAATTTCTTTTAGGATGAAAAAGACTTTGATTTCTTTTCCCCAGGGAACTTAGAGTGTTCCAATTTAGGGGTGGTTGTTTGAAATTTCTAAAATTACTTAATATTTATCTTCATAAAATTTACAAATGCTTATTAAAAAGGCTTGCAAAAATGATAGAATTAATGTTGTATAGTACAAAGCCACAGATGTTCTGTTCTGTCATAAAAATGGCTTAGACGCTTAATGGTTAAGGTCTTAATTTTTAACAAAGATAGACTGATGTAGAAGTCAGTACACACAGTGACCATATCTGTCAATTCTTAATCAAGTTTCTAGTAGGCTGAGGTTGGTATTAGTCAGGAGAGTTGGCATTTTGTAAGAACTGGATATGGAGTTGGGGTGGTGACATGGAATAAAGAAAAAAATCTACCAGTATTGCTGCTTATTCCTCTCTTTGGATTACCCTAATCTTTTAGAGTATATGGCTGCTGCTTTTCTTCTGTTTTCTAAGTATGGCACATGTTTCTCTTCTTTTCAACTGTACAGGGAAAGGGATTGTGGGATATATGTTTCTCAGTTTTCTATTAGCATAATTGGCTAAGACTTGATGTTCTTTTCATGTGCACTACATGTCAGCACAGGTTATGTAGTACCCAACTTTTAGGACTTTCTGGGATTTGAGACTGGCTATGTGTCTAGATAATTAAAGGTTTTAGAAATAGTTCCCCAGGAAGGCCATCAGTTCTTGCAAGGCAGCTGTCTCAAGGAATGCCTTTATAGTACTCTTCAGGTAATAATTTCCTCAGACATTGAAAAAATGATGCTTGTATACTGTGGGTATGGCTCAAAGGATAGAGCACCTGCTAATAAGCTCAATGCCCCAAATTCAAACTCTATTACTACCAACAAAAGGAGAAAATAATTATAATAGTAAATATGGTAAAAGTTTACTAATTAAAAAAAAAAAAAGGACGATTGTATTGTATTGACAAAGGAGGCTTGGTAGAACTTAGAGATTCCAGGTACTCAGCTTTATTAGACTTTACCCATAGGTCTCCATTTCAGTTTTCAGGGTCTTCTTGCTTGCCAGTCAAGGTCTTAATTTTAACATAAGATGCTCTATAAGGGTATAAATTGAGTTTACATTGTAATTCAGTTACCTGTAGTCACTAGACATATCTATTAAAGTTAATTTCTGGTCTTTTACCCAGACCTTGAGCTGTATATTTAAAGTTCTAAGTTCATCGTTTCTTTTCCTAATGGGAAAAAAATGTCAGTGTACTTAGAAACAACTAGTGAAATATTTTATTTTATTTTATTTTTAATGCATTTTTCAGCCAGTGCTGGGTCTGACTGGGTTTGCACAAGTTAATAGGGTTAATGGATTATATATCATGATGGAACAAAAAGAATTGTTAGAGTCTGGAGTGGTAGTTCGATAATGAGATACTTGGAAATAAAAGGAGATATGGGATACTATTATTGATAGAAACTGTGACAGTGGTCACCAGTGGAGGGAGAATAAACCACTGGAAAAAGAGAAGGCCAAGGAATTGAGAAGCCAGATTGTAGAGTTAAGGTTTGTATGGATATGTGGATAGTATGTTCACTACTGTTTATTCCTGTGATAATACTAGAGAGAATAATAATGAACAAGATAGTAATTTTTTTAAAATAGGAAAAGTACACTGGTATCTCTATGTGTAACCAGGCAGGGTGGCAGATGATACATAAAGGCAGAAGCTTTAAACCCAGAGTGTTTTAGGGAAGCAAGTTGCAATGAAAGAAAGTGGGGTAATGATTTGAAATGATAGTGAGCAACAACTTGAGCCACTTCTCCATCTGTAGGCCTGGTATTATGAGGTGATATAAGAGAAAACACCCAACATTTTGAGAAAGCTGAGGGATAATTCTTAGGGAAGAAAGATTTTTTTTTTTTGGGTCCAGTCATGGGGCCTGAACTCTGGGCCTGGGCGCTGTCCGTCAGCTCTTCAGCTCAAGGCTAGCGCTCTACCACTTGAGCCACAGTGCCACTTCCGGCTTTTTTCTTTTTGCTTATGTGGTGCTGAGGAATCGAACCCAGGGCCTCAGGCATGCAAGGCAAGCACTCTACCACTGAGCCACCTTCCCAGCCCAGGAAGAAAGATGTTTTAGTTAGAGAAAAAAAATGAGAACATTCAGAGAGGAGTTTGAGGGAATAGGAAATTTTGCTGATGAAAGAATGTAATGGAGGGGTTTGGAATTTGTAGAAGGATAGAATATAGAATATGGTCTTTCTTGTTTTTATAGTGTCTGATGATTCCATTGTGAATCATTGTGATAGCTCTTCATTTTATTCCTAGGAAGTTTGTTTAGAGGTTTATAGTGCTTTTCATGTCATTGATTTTTTTTCCCATTGCTTTCTCTTCCAAACTAATTATGAAAAAAGAAAACATAATCAAGAGTAATAATAGAAAAAAGAGCAAACACAGATAAAGCAAGACAAAATATAAATCATATAATAAGATGGTATATGTATACTTTTTTATATTAAATGTAAACAAAGAACATTTACAAATACCAGTTGTGTAATTGATCTGTAAAATCAGACAACAAATTGGAATGGAATGAAATCATATAGACTTTTTCATTTTAATTACAGTAGAATAATATTCAAATTAATGAAAGAATGGAGAGGAAGAGAAAAAAGGAGGAGGGGGTAAAATGGGAGCAGAATTTTAAAAAGTCAGTGTTTTAATATTAAATACCTTATTTTATTGTTTTCAGCATATTAGCATAAAGGGTCTGCTGCTATAAATATAGAAAATCAAAATATGTGACACAGCATTTTTTAGACATTAGATACAAGGCATTCCAAGACTGACCTTCAGAAGGGATGCAAACTAGGTGAGCCCTGGGATTATATCAGTAATTTTCCCAGAGGCAAATTAACAGGCCTCAGACCAATAGGGCAGACTGAAAAGGTAGCCAATTGCCTTCTTTCTGAGTTAAGAAGACAGATGGAGGTTGGGGAAGCCAAGAAAGTTTGAATCTGTAAGACAGAATATCAGAAAGGAAGAAGGAAAAGGGGGAGGGAGAGAATGAAAGGTAGCCAACCATCTGCTGAGTCTGGATAAGAGTTGATCTATGTATGCATAAAGGAGCTACTCACAGTTCAGAAGAAAATCAGAAGGATACACAGCTTAGAGCGGTTCATGAGGATAGAAAGACTTTGTAAATACAGAAGATACCTGGTATAGTTCCCAGAAGGGTATGGGAAGATATTAAGTTAAAAAAAGAAAAAATAAAAAGTAATCCCAATTAATCTAACCTCATGCTAAAGTTCAATACTATAAAACTAGCATTTACAGTACAAATTTTGTGATGTACAACAAGTAATAAAATCAGACATGTAAACCAGGGATAATGGCAAATACCTGTAATCCCAGTTGCATAAGGCTAAGGAGACACAATTACTTAAGCTGAGGAGATGAAGACTCTTTGTTGAAGAAAAAGGTAAAGTCAGACAAGCAGTCATTCATAATCTGGAGAAAAAGAAATTCTTACTTTAATTTTTTGGGCAGTACTGGGGTTTGAACTTAGGGCATCATGCTTGGAAAACATTTATTCTACCACTTGAATTACATCCCCAGTTCCTTAAACAGGAGAAAAATGGGTCATTGGGTATAAATCCAGAAATGATAAAGGTGGAGTGGACAGTGGCCCTAAAATAATTAGCAATTAATAGTAAGAAAGAAGCCATAAAGAGGACAAATAGAACTTCCAGATTTATTTATTTTTTTTTACAAGTAACATGTGGTGTAGGTGTGGCTACTGCTGTTTATAATCTTAGCTACTTGGTAGGCTGAGATTGGGAAGATCATGGTTTGTAGCCAGCCTGGACAAAAAGTTCCTAAGACCTTCATTTCAACCAATAAAAAGCATAGTAGATCATAGTACCCATAGTGGGGCATACCTGTCATACTGGCTATCTGGGAAGTATAAGTAGGAAGATTGCTATTCAGGCTAGTCAAAACTGTCCAGACAATATGTAAGACCTTATCTGAAAAATAAAAGCTAAATTGGCTGGGGATGTGGCTTAAGCAATAGAGTGCCTGCCTAGCCAGTATAAGGCACTGAATTCAAATAATTCTTACATTTTGCATTTTTGTATTCAGCAGAATATAAGAATTGTTTTGTAGTTAGTGGAAATATTCTTACCTCCACCAAAAAAAACCCTACATAAAATAGAATACACTACATGGAATTACTATCAGATTAGAAAAAAAATAAGTGTGAAGTAGTACTAGAAACTAAAACAAAGCAGAAAGAAAAAAAAATAAAAAGAGCATCAGTGACTGACATGTGAGATAATACTTTAGAAGTTTTTAGGGGTCACTCAAAAATTTCATTTTGGGTTTTTGACTTACCAAAATCTAATATTCGTCTTCATCTTTTTTTTCTGCTCATGGGAAATGGAAAATCTCAGGACATTTTAACCTTAATTATATATAGACACACATCTATCTATCTGTCTGTCTGTCTGTCTGTCTGTCTGTCTGTCTGTCTGTCTGTCTGTCTGTCTGTCTATCTATCTATCTATCTATCTATCTATCTATCTATCTATCTATCTATCTATCTATCTTTTTTTTCTTTTTGCCAGTCCTGGGGCTTGAACTCTGTGCCTGGGCACTGTTTCTGAGCCTCTCTGTGCTCAAGGCTAGCACTCTACCACTTGAGCCACAGCGCCACTTCTGGCTTTTTTCTGTTTATGTGATGCAGAGGAATCTAACCCAGGGCCTCATGCATGCGAGGCAAGCAGTCTACCACTGAGCCACATTCCCTGCCCCGACGTACATATATATTTGCATACATAAATATATTTGTAGCATATCATTTTTTTGCTCATTTAGACTTACTCAGCTACTTTTTTTCCTTCCTTCCTATTCTGTACACCTTGCATATCTCTGAGTTATTGTCTGCAATATCCTTTGTATCTGAAGAATGTTTTAGAATCTAATACTTCCTAAACTTTATATAAGCTTTGATGTTTTTCAGGGTGTGAGTGCATCATGTATTTTTGTTTAAGAAATAGTAAGTTTCTGAATACTTTCTTACAGATTTTTTTTCAAATTTTTTATTGTGATTAAGTGGTTACATAATTTCCCAAATTTCACAGTATTGTGGGATAGTGATGCTCAGTTAAAGTCACAAACACATTCTAACTTTCCTGGAGCAAATTGTCTATCATGGTCTATAACATTTATGAGTTCTATGAGCTTTGCGATACAGTTAATTTCTTCCACATTGGGTGGTATGTACATTTCTTTTGTTTTGCATAGCATCAGCTGTTTCCTCTTTCCCACTTGTTTCTTCCCTCCCATCACTGCCATTAAGTTGCTTAGTTCATTTTGGTCAATGTCCAGTGCAGCTGATGGGTCCCGCTGTTATGTTTTTCCCTGATTCCCTCTAGTTCTGTGTCATCTTCCTGGTTCCCCTGTGGTGTACACATATATACCATACATGTTACACAGATACTTTTGAAAGATTATCTTTGGTATTCATGTATCTTTTAAGATTATATATCAAAATACATCTCTTTAGTGTCTTCAATCAACTAAAAAGTCTTTATAAATATGATATAGTATATATGTTTAATTCATTTCCACTTCCAGAAACTGAACTGCTGTGTATTTTGCTTATGGCTACTTAAAAAATTTTTGGATCATATTTTATCCAGTATTTTTGTATTTATGTAGTTTATTTTACTGCCTTAAGCACATTTTTGTTAAGACTGTAGCTGTTATTTAGGTTTGCCATTTTGTTGGGTTTGAGGAAGTATCTGAAATGTGATTTTAACTTCCATTTCCCCATTTCTCTGATGACTACTAATGTTGAGCCCCAATTTTTTTCTGTTTTAGAGATATATATATATATATATATATATATATATATATATATATATATTTACATCTCATTTTCTTCTGCTTTTGCATGATAGGTTTATTTATTTATTTTTTACTATGGGGGTAGGATTTTCTTTAGCTCTGAAATTTTGACATTTATTTCCCATTTTCTTCTCATGTAGCTTTGTATGTCTGTGGTCTGCCCTATTTTGGCCTCCTGTTTGATTATTTTGCTTTGTTAAATCATGTTTAGAATCCTTATTCCCCTCCCTTTCCTTAAGGGGCTTAGTACATGCCACCAGATTCTCTTTGTAGCTTGGACTGTGGAATTAGGTCTGATATTTTTTAGTTTCTTTTTTAAAAAATCTTTTGTTCTTTTCTGTTTTTCTTTCTTTCGTTTCCCCCTCCCCCACCCCTCTCTTGTCTTTCTCTCTGTTCTCTCTCTTCTCTCTCCTTACTCTCTTTTTGTGCCAGTCCTGGGCCTAGAAGTCAGGGCGTAGGCACTGCCCCTGAGCTTTTTTTACTCAAGGCTACTTGAGCCACATGTCTACTTCCACCTTTTTGTTGTTTAATTGGAGATAAGAGTCTACTGGACTTTCCTGTCCAGGCTAGCTTCAAACCAAGATCCTCAGATCTCAGCCTTCTAAATTGCTGTGATTACCGGTGTGTGTCACTAGAACCCAGCTTTATTTTTTAGTTGGTGTTTTTTTTTTTTTTACTTAAAAATTTTATAGTTATTTAGTAAGGAATGTGGCTGAACAGACTGGAGGAGTTTTGGGTCTGTTGGCATTGAGGAAAGGAGGGGATGGGAAATTTATCTGGAAATTTTGATAATTGACAATGGAATTTAGTTGTCTAATTACAAATCATTTGGGATTCAGGAGAAACACTGGCTTACCCTGAATTGGGGAAAGAGCAGAATGTGTACGTACATCTCTCCATTCACTTTGATGGTACTAGGATTTGAACTAAGGGCCTCATCCTTGCTGAGTAGTTACTCTATAACCTCCATAGAGGTTATACCTCCATAGCCTTCTCCATACATATACTTAAAGAATTTAAAAAAAAATGTGTTTTCCAGGATAAGCCTTTAACATGTGGAAAAAAAGCAACAACTCTGTTTATATTGTCATTGTATATGTCGAGCTCTCTGTAAAATGACGCTTCTATGTATTTCAGAGTAAGTGACTCATGTATTTAAGAAAATAGTAGTCTATATATTTTCTTATCCAGATTTTTTTTTTTTTTTTTTTTTTTTTTATTGTAAAGCTACTATACAGAGGGTCACAGTTACATGAGTGAGGTTATGAGTACACTTCCTCCTTATCCAGATTTTTAAAAATGCTGTTCCAGGGACTTGAAACTCATGGCCTGGACACTGTCCTTTAGCTTCTTTTGTTCAAGGCTTCTACTCTACCACTTGAGACACAGCTCCATTTCTGGTCTTTTTGAGTTGTTTATTGGATATCAGAGTCTCATTGACTTTCCTGTCCAGGCTGTCTTCAAACTGTGTTCCTCAGATCTCAGCTTTCTAAGTAGTCAGGGATACAAGCATGAGCCACTGGTTCCCAGCCTTATCCAGATATTTTTACAAAATTGTTTTTGGTGGATAAGAATTTTTTTAAAACTCTTTAAAGATAATCTCCTTGGGGTGTTCACTTTTATTTTTTAAAAATTTTTATTTATTTTTTATTGTAAAAATACTGTACAGAGGAGTTACAATTACATGGGCAAGATAATGAGTACATTTCTTATCAAGCATTGTAGCCTCCTCTTTTGTTTCCCCTTCTTATCCCTTCCCATCAAGGGGTGTTCACTTTTAAAGAATTAAAAAAAAAATTCCTGGGCTGGAAAGGTGGCTCAGTGGTAGAGTGCTTGCCTTGCATGCATGAGGCCCTGGGTTTGATTCCTCAGCACCACATAAGCAGAAAAAGCTGGAAGTGGCACTGTGGCTCAAGCAGTAGAGTGCTAGCCTTGAGCTGAAGAGCTGAGGGACAGTGCCCAGGCCTAGAGTTCAGGCCCCACGACCGACAACAACAACAACAACAACCACAAAACATTCCTGTGAATAACTTGTTACCTTTAATAAATAATTTTCAGCAAACGTTGAGGAGGATGTGCTACCTTACTATCAAGGAAATGGCTACCATCTCTGAGGATGTGATCATTGTTACAAGCAGGTATGTGCATAATGAATATCGAAGCTAAGATCCTTATTTTTATGTGCTGCTCTCTATTGATTTTACTTTTTGGACTGCCAATACAAATTCACAAGAATATCATATCATAAAGCATTCTTTCGGTTGTGGGGCTTGAACTCTGGGCTTGGGCGCTATCCCTCAGCTCTTCAGCTCAAGGTGAGTGCTCTACCGCTTGAGCCACAGTGCCACTTCTGGTTTTCTAGTGGTTTATTGGAGATGAGTCTCATGGACTTTCCTGCACGGACTGGTTTGAACTGTGATCCTCAGATCTCAGCCTCCTGAGTAGCTAGGATTACAGGTGTGAGCCACTGCCGCCCGACTTAAAGCATTCTTTTTTATGTGCAATTGTCATCATGTGAAAAAGTCTCTATGATAAATGAAGTCCAAAGGGAAATGCTACTAGGTTTGAGTATCTTAAAAAAATGTTCATAAAATAAATAAAACTGGACATAAATGATATATTGAATTAAACATTTACAGTTAATATCATTGCTGATTGAAAAGGTGCTGTCTGTAGTCACTTTCACAGATATCCAAAAAAAAAAAAAATCTAAGCAAAAAATTAAAAAAATAAACCTGGGCATGGTGGTTTGAATCTATAATTCTAACTACTTGGGCCTGTAATCCTAGCTACGTGGAGGGCTATGATTCAAGGCCAGCCTGAACATAAACAACAAAAAAAAAGTTTGTGAGATTCCATCTTCACCAGTGGCTGGATATGGTGGTATATGCCTATTACCCCAAGTACAAGGGAAGCACAATAGCTGGATACAATGTTGTGTACCTGTCATCTTCAATGACACAGGGAAGCTCTCCAATGACACAGGAAAGCCCAAGTAGGAGGATCGAACTCCAGGCTGGTATGGTTATAAGGTGAGAGCTTACCTTAAAAATAAAGCAAGCCAGGCATTGGTGACTCATGCCTGTAATCCTAGCTACTCAGGAGGCTGAGATCTGAGGATCAAGGTTCAAAGTCAGCTGGGGCAGGAAAGTCTGTGAGACTTTTATCTCCAATAAACCACTCAGAAAACCGAAAGTGGTGCTGTGGCTCAAGAGGTAGAGCGCTAGCCTTGAGCTGAAGAGCTGAGGTACAGAGCCTAGACCCATAGTTCAAGCCCCACAACTGGCAAAAAAAAAAAGCAATAAGAGGGTAGAGGCATGGCTCAAGAAGTAGAACCCCTGCCTCACAAGCACAAGATTTTTTTTATTTCAATCCTAGTAGTGCCTAAATAAATAAATAAATGAATAAAATAAAATTCAAGAATGAGTTACAATACTTTCACTCATTAGGTTGGCAATAAAACAAAAAGGCAGCATAAATGTACTTATAAGGAAGAATGATATTCTTTTACATAAGTGGTAGAGTAATAAATTGAGTTTTTCTAGGAAGTAGTTTGGCAGCATTTGTTAAATGACTGAAATGGTTTATCTGTTTGGCCTAGTATATTCACAGCTATGGAATTATCTTCAGAAAAATCCGACATTATACTGCTGTATATACAGTGATATCATAACACTATAAATGGTATTAAAATTGTTAAAATCAGGCATTATTAAAATTAAGTATCTGTGTTAATATTAAGAGAGATATTTTTGAAAATAGTTTTAAAACATCTTTAATGATATGGGAAAAATTTAATAAATTTTGTATAAACAGAAGTTGGATTCTATATATTTTATTGTAGCTTTCTTTTCAATGTATTTTATGTATCTGTGTAAAAATGTTGATGTAAATATACTGTTATATTATCAATAGTGTATCTTGGGATATTTTTGGATATGGCTAACTTTTGATAGTTTCCAAATGTCTTAGAATGAATGTATAAAATTTATAACACTAAAGTAATACAGTATTATTTATAGGTACCTTTAAATTATAGCATATATTATATAATTATATAATTATAACACATTTAATTATAACATATTTGCTTTTATCTGAATATGATTTTTTTTGTAGCTTCTTTTTTTGGGGGGGGGGTGCCTTGCGCATGCCCGGCGGGTGCCCTTCCGCTGGGCTAAACCCCCAGCCCCCTGATTTTTTTTTTTTTTTTTTTGTGATAGTTCTGGTTGCTTAAATGTAGGGCCTGAATGTTGTGTCTGAGCTGTTTTTGTTCAAGGCTATTGTTCTATTGCTTGAGCCACAGCTTCACTTTTGGATTTTTGGTGGTTAATTGGAGATAAAGACTCATAAACTTTCCTGCTTGGTCTGAATTTGAACCACTCTTCTTAGATCTCAGCTTTCTGAGTAGGATTACAGGCATGAGCCGCTGGCGCCTGGCCATGAATATGATTTTTTGAATAAAATGCAGTTTTGAAGGAAGGTGCTTGTGTTTAACAGGCAGTTATATATATAGCTTCAGTTAGAAAAGCTTGCAGCTGAAAAAAAAAAACAGGAAAGCAGAAGTAAAAAGTGACTTATACAAAATGGGAGCTTGTTTTTCTTCATGTAACTCTGTCTGGAGGCATAGAATGGCTGGTGTTGATTCATTCAACAGTGGCTGGGCTACTGTCTCTTGAATTCTTTTGGATGTGCTCCATTATTGCAAAATAGATGCCCAAGTTACTGGCTGTGCACCACATCCAAGGCTGGAGAGCTACTGGGCAGGAGGCCAGGGAGTGCCAGCACCATCTGCCTTTTTCATCAGGAATGCAATAGCTCTTCCCAAGGCAATTTTTAGATTTTATTTGGCACAATGGTGCTATATGACTACCCTGAGGAAGTCAGGAAAGCAAGTCTCTAGCTTTTATAGCTCAAGTATTAAGTGCAGGAAAAAGGTGAAGGAATTGAAAATTGGTATTGGTTTTGTCAGCTCAGTGTCTTCCACAAGAAAGAAATAGAAAACCTATCATTACGTTGCTAGATTCACTAATTATTTTTAAAATGAAAATAAATTAGCCGCTTTTTTTTCTTTTAGCTGTTAATGTTTCCCTCTGAGTCTTACTAGGTTCCCTTAAGTTATGGTTTGTTTCTAGCTCATTTTAAAAAAAATTATTTTATTGTAAAGATGTTATACTGAGGGATTATAGTTACATGAGTAAGGTAATGAGTATATTTCTTCTAGTTCATTTTAAGTAATCAATGGATATAGTAGAAAGAATAATGGCTCTCTATGTCCCAGTCCCCAGGACCTGGGACTATGTTATGCCACATGGAGAATTAAGACAGGATTATCCTGAATTACTCATGTCCTCAGAAGTAGGACAGACTTTATAGTATCTGGAAGTGGGTGCTACTATAACAAATACTTGAAAATGTGGAGATAGTGTGAAATTAGGCAATGAGCATGTTCTGGAAGAATTTTGAGGACCATGGTAGAGAAGCCCTATATGATTAGAAACAGGGATATTAATGGTTATGCTAGACTCAGAAGTAAAGAACAGGAGAGGGAAAACATTAACTTATACCTAAAGCATTGTGAAGACTATTGGTAGAAACATGGACCTAAAGGTGTTGAGGATACAGGCTCAGAAGAAGATGAGGAAGATGTTGGAAACTGGAGGAAAATGGATTCTTATTACAGTAGCAGAAACTTAGCAGAATTATGTCTTGTAGTTGTATGGGAAGGAGAACTTACAAGAAATAAACTTGGACATTTAGCTGAGGAAATTACCAAACAAAATGTTAAATATTCACCCTGTTTTTTTTTTTTTTGCCATTTTTAGTAAAAATTTTAAAAGTAGAGACATAAAATGGGGGGAGACCCCTTAAACAAAAAAGGGTTATTACTTGATTTTAGAAAATTTCAGTCTATCCAGAGGCAAAGAAGTTAAAATCAAGTGAGTTAATGTTGGGAATGTGTACTCTAGAGAAAAACCCAAAGGAGTCATTGTACAATCTATTGCTGGGACCTCGGATCAGAAGGTTGGAGTATTCAGTCACACCAAGCACAGAAGAGATCAAGGGTGAACTCATAAGATTCCTTTAGCAGCCAAGCATAAGCTCAAAATAGAGATAGGATTATCCAGGCAAGATCTGTGGAGGAACCTCTTGTCTAAGAAAGGTGTTTGAGAATATTATACCAGTAGAAACACTACCAGCTTGTACTTGATGTAACCAAGAGAGGACAAGCTGTCAGCACCTCAAAACTGTACAGGCAGGAAACAGGCTGACAGAACTTCTCAGCTTTGAGTATATGCAAGTTACTCCTTATTTTTTAAAAAATAAAAAGAAAGATGATGTCAAGGGCAGAGATTCAGGTATGAAGGGTGGTCTTGAGAACTGCATAGAAGTCTGCTAAGATAGAAACTTGCCAATTTGCCTGACAAACACATCTTTAATCAGTAATACTTCTACATTATGACTAGGGAAAATGAAACCATATGGCCACACACACATACTCATGACTGTATAAGAGTTTCATAGCAAAAGACAACTTTAATACTGCTTGGGGGCAGTGATTTTCTTTCCATTTTCTCTGCTTTTCAGGGGAAATATTTATAACTATTACTCTAAAGCAGCTCTACATTGCCCATTAAATTTATATGATTTTGATAATAAGATTAGGATTTTGGACGGTGAGATTTGGGAGAATTGTAGTAATGTGTTGAGATTTTGAGGGATTTTGGAATGAGGTAAATGTATTGACATAATTAAAAGAAGTATATCATAAATCTAAAGCCAGCAATGTAATTAGCTAGAAACATTTCAATTAAAACAGAAACAAGGTGAAATCCTTAATATCACCACTGTAATATTAGGTAATATAATAATATGGTAGAAAAATATAATATACTATTGAACAAGAGGTGGCAAAATTATTTAACATTTTTTACTATAGTAGACTGTTTAGATTTGAATCCCTATCATGTTACTTTCCAGACAAGTTATTCTGTGCTTTGGTTTTTCTCATCTATAAAACAGATACAGAATTAATCTCTTTTCATAGAGATTTTATGAACATTTAATGAACAGTTTACCTATATTCAATTTTTTTTCATCAGTCCTGGGGCTTGAACTCAGGGCCTGGGCACTGCCCCTGAGCTTCTTTTGCTCAAGGCTAGCACTCTACCACTTGAGCCACAGCATGACTTATAGCTTTTTCTGTTTATGTGGTACTGAGGACTTCATGCATGCTTGGTAAGCACTCTGTCACTAAGCCACATTCCCAGCCCTGTATTCAGATGTTTATTAGAATATCTAATGAGAGAAAAAGCCCAATTTATAGGAGCCCACAGTGATAAAATATAAGAAAGTCATAGGACCTCTTTTCAGGGAACTTAAAAACTATTGAAGAATGTGTAAAGAAATCTTGAAAAAAGTGGTGAAGAATCTGTTGTTTGTTAGCTTATATGCATAGTACAGAGCACTTCCCAAGAATGTTAATAAGGTATTAGCAAACGACTCTAAATCTCATCTGAAACAGTGTGATGATAATAGCCAGGATCATTTAGATAAAGCAGAATCATAGGAAACTTGCTGTCTCAAAAAGCAAAATAAAATGAACTATATAATGGTATAGTAAACAAATTTTTACTGAAGAATGAAAAAAAGATTTTTGTAAGAAAATACAGAAATAGCTCCAAATTTTTATGTGACTTCAGTATTTAAAAGATGATATTTCTAGTCAGTGGAAAAGTCTGAATTGTGTAATTGCTAGAAGGAAAGGTTATTAAGTAAAAAAGGCATCAAAAGAGTAAAGATCTCTCTCTCTATCAGCTATAAAACATTCTTTTATAAGAAACTCTAGCTTGGCTCAGTGTCACAAACCTGTGTTCCTAGCTACTTGGAAGGTGGAGATTGAGAGCTCATGGTTTGAGGTTAGCTTGAGCATAAAAGTTCACAAGACTCCATCGCAACCAGTGGCCTCATGAGGTGTAGAATATGACTGTGATCCCAGCAACAAAGGGAAGCACAAATAGAATGATTGCAATCTAGGCTGATCTGGGCATAAACAGTACCCTACCTTGAAAACACCAGTGGAAAAAGAGGTTGGAGGCATGGCTCAGATGTAAAAGTGCTGTCTAGTAAGTGTGAAGCCTGGAGTTCAAACCCTAATACCATCTCTCTCAGAAAAACAAAAACAGAAAACTGTTCAGTTTCCAATTAAGTGGCATTAAAAAGCGGGTGGAGAGTTTTAAGTATATTTTACATTTTTCTGAATGTTTCAAAATGTATTATTATTACTTGAGTAAAAATAGTAGGAAAAGAATCCATTTTCAATAGGTCAAAAACAGATCATCTCTAGAATGAGAACACAATTATTTTCACTCTGGGGGGAAAGTATTATTAAATAAATTACTCTTTTTTCCCCCTATACTGGGAACTATAGCCAAGACCCTATGTGTATTAGGCAAGGCTTTAACACATGTAGGGTCTCTGGCCCTAAATGAATTGCTTTTATAATTAAAAAAAAGAATCTGAGGGTTCTCAGTTATTCACAACTTTATTCTCTTGGTGTTCTAATGGAGTGAATCATAGTTAAGGGCCATTTTGGTTTATGTGAGAGGAGTTGAGAACGGGGGAGATTGGTAGTCAATTTGAAGGTACTGTAAATGCATAGAAGACAAACAGAAGGGAAGGTAGAAGGCCAAAAACATTTAAAAAGTATGGATGTGGAATTTTGTAGCTCAGCCTCTGCCTGTTTCCAAAGCTTAGCAAAAAGGTCTGAAGCCATTGGTGGTGGTCAGTTTGGAAAGCACACCAATTGCTCCTGTCTGTATTTCTAACAACTTATAAGGCTTTGACCTGTTGGATGGAAGTTCAAAGCCAATCACAGTAGAAAAATGTGCAAAACTATCTCCATTTAACCAGCAAAAGGTTAGATTGAAGGTGTGGCTCAAGTGGTAGAGTGCCAGCTATGAGCAAGAAAGCTGAGTCAGCTGGTGGCTGGTGGCTGATGCTTGTAATCCTAGCTACTCAAGAGGCTGAGATCTGAGGATTATGGTTTAGAGCCAGCCCAGACAGGAAATTCCTTGAAACTCTTATCTCCAATTAACGACTAGAAAACTGGAAGTGGTGCCGTGGTAAGTGCAAAAAGAGCTTAGGGACAAGCCCCATGACTGACCAGAAAAGAAAACCAAAACCAAGTTAGTATAAGCCCCTGTGTTCAAGCCCCAGTGGTGGCAAAAAAGAAAGATGTGCCTGAGAGAGACATAACTCTTAGGTAATTGTTTTGTTATTTTTTTTTTAATAAAAAAAAATATGTCTGGTTGGATGGAGCATTAGGATCATTTTGGGGGTGGTAGTGGTTAATCTCAGTTTGTCTATACTTTTGTCCTTTATACTTATTTTCTGGTACTGGAGTTGATGTTTGCTGGGAAGCCTGTCCCTCATTTGAGTCATGCCCCAGCCTTTTTTCTTCGTATGTTTTTCAGATAGGGTCTTACACTTCTGCCTGGGGCCAGCCAACCTGGGCTATGATCCTTCCTCCTTCTAATTCCAGAATAGCTGAAATCATGAGTGCATGCTATCACGCCTACCTTCTATTGTTTTTTTCTTTTTGTCTCTCTCTACTGGAGTATAGATTCTATGAAGTCAAAAGACTGTTTTGCTGACTGTTATATTTTTTAGATTTAAAGTAGTCAACTTCTGCCAGTGGGTTTAGCATGCATGCAAAGAATATGCTTCAAAAAATATGGAATGCTTCATGAATTTGTGTTATACATGCATAGAGGCTGAGTTAGTCTTCTTTGTATTATTGCTGCCAAAGCAAGTAACATGCATTGAATTCATAAATTGATATGTTCAATTGAAACCCCTTTGTACAACTACTTATTGATAATAAAAATAAAGACTACGCTTCATAAATATTTGTAGAATCAGTTAACTGTGTTAAAATAATTATGAGGACATTTAGGAATTGTTGAGTCAGCTCCTCAGGAGAGAACATTTTAATTGATCTTATGTTAACTAATTTGATGTTTTTTTTAGTCTGACTAAGGACATGACTGGAAAGGAAGATGTGTACCGAGGCCCAGCCATCAGGGCTCTCTGTCGTATTACTGATGTAAGTTCTTCTTGTTTTACTGAGTTATCAAAGGGAACTCCCTTATTTCAGTCAGTGTGTAGATTTAGTAGGATTCCCTAGTCTGACTTTGTGAATCTTCAGTGTTAAGAAACATGTTTACCAAAAAGATTTTTGTGCCTCTGGGCTTTTTTTCCCTTTCACTTCGTCTTTTTTCCTTTTGCTTATATTCATTTATTACTTTCTCTATATGTTTGCCCACATAAACTTTCATAATTTAGGGTGCCTTATGTACAGGAAACAAAAATACATTCAAATTTAGCTCAAAAGAGAAACCTTATTATAGAACACAACACTCTCAGAGTTTGAGGTAAACCTTATTAATAGTTACTAGCAAGAAACAGGGCAGCTCTGTGATACTCAGCAGCAAGATCTCTCAGATAGTTACCATGAAGATCCATCATATACCAGACTCATGTCTCCTGTTCACAGGCTCCTTGGATTCTGCCTAACCATCAGTAAGCCAGTGACTTGTAGCCACCTTAGTCCAAGTCTCTTGTATCTGGAGGAATGTGGTTTTATAGTATACTAGGCTGTCTCTTTCTCAGAGGTCTGAGTTGGAAAAGTTAGATGAAGTTGGGTCAGCATTGATGAGAAAATTGGATAGTACATTTGGGTGTTATGTGTATGTTTGTATCCTTCACAAAATTTAAATTTTGGGCCAGATTAAATTGTAAATTTGTAAAATCTGGAACCAGATTTTACAAATGGTTTAATAATTTTTGTTATCCTATTGTTTTATGGTAGTTGTTTTTATTTTTCTCATTAAATTGGTGATTTAAGACTTAGCCACACCAGTGCTAGAAATAAGATTCATTCTATCTGTATATTGATCTGAGTCTGGTCACTTCTACCTTCCCAGTGATAGTCTTTTTATCCCCAGTTAGGTTAAAAAGAACTGTATTTCCAGAGGATAATGACAGCTTGCTGTAGTAAGATACTGCATATTTAATATCTTACGTGTTGGAGATAATCAGAGATTGATCACATATAATATATAGGCTTGAGATCCACATGTAATATGTGCCCTTCATGTAACTGTATATATCTTTAGGACTTCAACACAACTTCATTTCTATGTGTGAATTTCTTTGTATTCCTTATGGATAGTTTTGGCTTTTCCTTGTATATCCTTCTAACTAGGATATTGTCTATTTTAAGGCAATTTGTTTCATTCATGAGCAGTTCTGTTTACTAACATAGAATCTTAAGTATTTTTTCTTAAAGCTTGTTCAAGGTTGTTGGGGTTCTGCTTTCTAGAATATTATTACTGTATTACATAATAATCCCTAAAAGCATTAAAAATATTTGAAACAAGTATATGGCAGGTTTTTGTTAATTATTTTGAAGTAGCAATTTTTCATGACAGTGGTTTTCTTCAACAGCTTTTTTTTTTTTTTTGGAATGTTTTTAGGGAACAATGTTACAAGCCATTGAAAGATACATGAAGCAGGCCATTGTGGATAAAGTCTCCAGTGTATCCAGTTCAGCACTGGTATCTTCCTTAGTAAGTGAGCAGGCAGCTTCCTGATGCAATTTCTAATCCCAAAACAAAGTATCTATGGTTCTATCATGAGAGAAATTCTAAAAAATATGTATTATTGTATTCAACTGTGCTTTATTTATATGAGCCTTGAACAGTTAAAATAAGCAATAAAAATATGGAAATTTCCTGTTTAGAAGGTTTGAGGAACTAGAAAAGTTGTACTTATGATAAATGGAGGCAGGTAAAAATGAGAAAAGGATGGGAAATATGTGAGGTTATTGTTTTCATAACTTTTCCTATGACCTTCTACCTCTTTCTTCTTTGTTGTGACCTTTCTCTGGTTCCCTGTGTCTGTATATGTCCTTTAATCTAAAGTCTCCTGTTGCACTTCTGTATTTCCTCCCAGGAAGTAGTCTGTTTTAGTAATAACTTTCCTTTCCCTCTTTCTTATTTATTTTATTTATTTTTAGTTTTCTCCCCTTTTCATCAAAACATTTTTTCCACTAAAAACTTAGCACTGAATTTGATTGTTACTAGTTAAAAATATGTGAATATATAACTAGGTTCTGTGACTTATGCCTGTAATCTCTTATACTCAGGAAGCTGAGATCTGAGGATCATGATTCAAAGCCAGCCTGGGCACAAAAGTCTGTGAGACTTTTAGCTGTAGTTAATTGGTCAAAAGTGGAAAGTGAAACTGGCTCAAGTGGTAGAGCACTAGCATTGAGCAAAAAAAGCTCAGGCAGGGACAGTGCCCAAGCTCTGAGTTCAAACTTCCAAGACCAGCACTCATACATATATGCATGCATATATGCTTTTACACACACACACACACACACACACACCACACACACACACACACACACACACACACACACACACACACACACACACACACACACACAGACACACTGTGACTATATTAGAGCATCTGAATCTCAAAGTTCCCAGTTCTGAAATGCTGTTGATTTGATTTTACTGCAGGAAGTGTATTCAACAGCGTCTTTCTTCCTGGGTAACTAGTTTTCTGTCAAGTAAAACTCAACATAATTGAAGCATCGTGCTGTTTGGAGCTTCCTGTTCTTCCCTTTCTCATTATTTCCTTTTATACCACACTTCATTACTTCCTTTTACAGCATTCATTTCTCCAGGAATAGAGACTTAAATTAGGCTTATGAATCTATAATTTTTTTTTATCTTAGAAAATGTGTCAGTAATTTTGCAAGAATATTGACTCATGTAAGTAAACTTCTGTTTGTGATCTATTCTCATGTTTTTCTGGGTTTAGCATATGATGAAGATAAGCTATGATGTGGTTAAACGTTGGATAAATGAAGCCCAAGAAGCTGCATCAAGTGACAATATTATGGTCCAGGTACCGTCATTGAATGTCTCAGGGTCACCTTTTTTTAAGGGCAGTGTACTATCTAGAATATTAATGTATAATACTGGGCAGTTCCCCAGCATTCAAGGCCAATTATTTGGCATATTAAACAACCTGTTAGTGCATATTTTAAAAGGTTTCTCACTAATTATGATTACTTTAAAGGGCCTTCATGTGTTCAATAGAAGCTAGATGACCTCCTTTAGGAATGCTTGAGAACAATTTTATGTTGAGTAGTAGACAAAAGCTTACTCCAAAGTTACTTTACAGTGCATTGCAGTCTTTGATTTGAAGAGCAATTTATATATGTATAAAAAGATGTTCAATTCAAAATTTCTCCAGCCTTGACTATAGATATTGTAAAACTCTTCCAATTCTTTATATTTGTAAAGAACAAGCTTTATGAAACTTTTAAATCATTTCATCCAAATATCTGCTTATAATATTTATTAGGCTGTTTTTTACTGTAAGGGAACTTTTTTTTTTTTTTTTTTTAGGTATTGGGTTTGAACTTAGTGCCTGTGCTTACTAAGAAGGTCCTTTTACTACAGCATGTTCTCAGATCCTTCTTTTGAAACAAGGTCTCACTATAGACCCAAACTTGGTGTCGAACTTGGTCTGTATCATAGACTGGCCTAGAATGTAGGGAGGAGATTCCTAAGTTCTAGCCTTTGTAGTGTAGCCATTACCGGTGTATACCACTACGCCTGGTGCAGGTTAATTTTTCTTTATTTTTTTATTTTTATTTTTTATTTTTTTTGGGGGGGGGGTCCGGTCATGGGGCCTGAACTCTGGGCCTGGGTGCTGTCCCTCAGCTCTTCAGCTCAAGGCTAGTGCTCTGCCACTTGAGCCACAGTGCCACTTCCAGCTTTTTTCTTTTTGCTTATGTGGTGCTGAGGAATCGAACCCAGGGCCTCATGCATGCAAGGCAAGCGCTCTACCACTGAGCCATCTTCCTAGCCCCTTCTTTATTTTTTAGAAGTACTATGTCTTGAACTCTACCTCACTGTAGGGTGGCACCTGTAAGGCTGGTGCCCTACCATTTGAGTCAAGCCTCCATCCCCTTTTTGCCTTGGTTATTTTTGAGGTACCATCTTACTTTTTGTCCAGGCTGCAGAACTCCTATTTGTACTTTCCCATGTCACTGAAGATGACAGATGTGATACTGTGCTCAGGCCTCATGTTTCCCCTGTACCTGGGATAATAGATCACTTTGCCTAGTAACTTAGTAAGATAGAGTCTTGTAAACTTTTCTGCCTTGGCTAGCCTCAAGATGTAATCTGATCTTCACCTTCAAGTATCTGGGAATACAGGCCTGAGCCACCTTACCTTGCTCAGGCTATAGTAACTGGCAGTTGTATCTAAAATATGTATTTGAGAAGGTACTCAGGCCTTTTCAGTGTTTACAGTTTCTTCTGTTAGCACATTTAATTATGTGGAAACTCAGTATATTTCCCTAGGGAGATCTCACTTTCCTAACTCTAAGCTTGTATTTTTATATAAAGCATCATGACAGTGATACTTCTTTAGCCTATTTTAGGTGATTAATCCTTTGCTAAAGTGGCCATAGATGATCTATAGCTAATAAAGAGATTTGTAGCTAGGTGTCATGGCATATACTTGTAGTCCCAGCATTGCAGCAGAAGGATCACTTTAGCCCATGATCTTAAGACCAGTCTGGGCAACATAGCAATAGCCTGTTTGAAAATAAATAAATACAAAACAGTCAGTTAGTCTGTAACACTGATAAAGCCTTGGGCCTGAGAATATATAGGTCAATGTTGAATCTTCAAAGCCATTTTTTAGGTTGTATGTTACTTACTTTGTACTACTTCAGTCTCAATTTACAACTTCTGGGGTGAATTAGAAATCTTATTCTTGTCTGAGTTGAGTTCAATATGAAAAAGATATACTGTTTGAGTATATTTGACTTGGATATAATTTTATTAGAAATCTTTTATCCAATTCCATGTAATTCTATTTTCATATAATTGTTTGTCTTCTTTCTAATCTGTGTACAATACTTTTTTTCCTTGTTCTTTAGTACCATGCATTGGGAGTACTTTATCACCTTAGGAAGAATGATCGTCTTGCTGTTTCCAAGATGTTAAATAAGTTTACCAAATCTGGTCTCAAATCACAGTTTGCTTACTGCATGCTGATCCGAATTGCTAGTCGCCTACTAAAAGAAACTGAGGATGGGTAAGTGTTCCAAACCTAATTTATTTTCCATTTGCAAGTTTGTATCTTTTAGGGTTTATTTCCTTTGTGAATATCTTTGGGCAGTACTGACATTACAGATAAATTTGCTGTTTTTTTTTTTTTCTTTTTGTTTTTGGTTCCGGTCGTGGGGCCTGAACTCTGGGCCTGCGCACTGTCCCTCAGCTCTTCAGCTCAAGGCTAGCACTCTACCAATTGAGCCACAGCGCCATTTCCGGCTTTTTTTTTTGCTTATGTGGTGCTGAGGAATCGAACCCAGAGCCTCAGGCATGCAAGGCAAGTGCTCTACCACTGACCAACCTTCCCAGCCCCACTAAATTTGGTGTTTTTTAAATTAAAAACTATAGAAGTCTGGCACAGTGACTTAGGCCTGTAATCCTAGCTACTTGGGTTAGCTGAGGGCAGAGACCGGGGTGGGGGGGGGGGGGGGAGGGGATGGGGGAGGGGGGGAATAGAAAGGCCTTAAAAGTTACCAAGGGAAAAATGACACATTTGATTCAGGGAAACAAAAATAAGAATCATGGTTGCTATTGAGTATATTTCTTAAGGGTTCAAGGATTAAAACTTTTAATCCTTATTGTGAGATCTTAAGAAGATAGGAACTTTATCCAATTCTAGAGTCTTGAGTTGATTGTGTTTAGGCTTAGATAAAGTCTTCAGAGTAAAGGTTCGTGGTTGAATATTGCTGGTGAGAGACCAGGTATTGCATTTATATATGCATGAACTTATTTCTTGCCATGTGAAATCCTATAATGGTTTGGGAGTCTTTCAGAAGGCTATCACTAATTGTAAGTAAATCTTAAACTGTTAAAACAGGGAGCTGAATAGCCCCCCCCCTTTTTTTTGCAAATTTTTTATTGTGATTAAATGATTATGTAATTTCACAAATTTCACAGTATTATGGGATAATGATGCTTAAAGTCATAAAAACATTCTAACCTTCATGGGGCAAATTGTCTATCATGGTCTATAAAGTTTATGAGTTCTATGGGCTTTGACTGTACAGTTATTTCTTCCACATTGATGATATGTACATTCCTTTCCTTTTGCATAGTGTCAGCTGTTCCCTCTTTACCACTCATTCCCTCCCGCCCTCCCATCACTGCCATTGAGTTGCTTAGTTTGTTTTGATCAATGTCCAGTGCAGCTGATGGGTCCTACTGTTGTATGTTTTCTCCTGTTTCCCTTTAGTTCTGTGTCTTCCTTCTAGTTTCCCTTCAATGTGCACATATATAGCATATATGTGATCAGCAGCTTGGGCTCATTTAGTAATGATTTGATCAGATGAGTGGAGGTCCTTTGTTTGTCGAGTCTTGTTTACTTTGTCATATCACCTTACATTTCAGATTTAACATTCACTTATCAGGGAGACTATGTGCCATTTATCTTCACTCTTGGCTTACCTCATTCAACATGATTTGTTCCAGTTCCATCCATTTACCTGCGAATGCCATTATTTTGTCCTTTCTAATGGCTGCATAATATTCCATTGTATATAGATACCACAATTTTTGGATCCATTCATCTGTAGTGGGGCATCTGGGTGGTTTCCACTTCCTGGCTATTGTGAACAGTGCTGCAATAAACATGGAGGTGCATGTGTTCTTGTATGCTGTAAACCCCTGTTCTTTATAAAATACTCAGCTCCAGGTATTTTGTTACAGCAATGAAAAGCAGATCGATGGTTGGATTCTTATCAGAAAAATAGATAGTAATAAATATCTTAAAATTGTTGCAGTAAAAATCTATCAATCTGTGTTCTACAATCTTATCAAATTATTCCTCTAAGTTGAGGTGAAGTAAAGATATTTTCACCAGGAAACAAATCTGCAAGAGTTTAGGATAATCATGTTTATATTATAAAAGTTGCTAAAGTTTTTCAGGCTAAAAAGAAATGAGGGTAGATAGTGCTTGGATTTCAAGGCATATTAAGCAAAAGAAAACATAGTAAGAGATGGAAAATGAAAGAATGGTGAATATGTAGATAAATAAGGTGATCATATAGATTTAAAAAATTGAAAATATGTAGGTAAACGAAAAAGCCATAGGAAAATTTGTAAGTGTACAAAATTTTAACAATAAATAATATATAGGAAACAGGGATCTACAACCACAAAGAAATGAATCATTGTGATGGTGAATGATAGAGTGCAAAGAGTGAAGTTTACAGTGTTTCTTTAGTTGGCAAGTTGATTGATATAAAATTCTAACAATGAATTGCAGCTAAATTCTTCATTTGGTGCTTTTGTCTTAATAGCTACTGTTTTTTTTCCAGGTCTCCTAGGGTCTTCATCTGAATATGCATAGTTCAGTTACCAACAAATACATTTTTTCTGAGTTTAAAATTGATTTTGAGACCCATCCTTTTTGTGGTTTCCTGATCTCCAGAATTTCTATCCTGAGGTTTAGTCACTCTCCCAACCTCAAACTTTGTGTGATCTTGTCCAGTAAATGCTGAAACTTTCAAACATTTTATATCAGAAGATTTGGAAGATTCTGATGAGAATATCCAGAAATACACAAATTTCATTCCATGTAGCTTCATCTTTCAGGCATCAACTGCCTTCTAGTTTTTATTTACTACTCACTAGGTACTTTCAAATACTGTAGATTTTCTTTGTTGTTTTTTTTAACTAATGATGTAATTTTTATTTGTAGAGGATTAGTCTAACAGGCTATACCACCTCTAGAGGGAAGCAAGAAACTCTAATTGAATGTTTTTAAATATAGTATCTTAATCTCTATTAACATTTAAAAAATATATATGTTAATTTTTTTAACTGGTTATAATATTTATCCTTGAGCTTTTAATATTTATCCTATTCAGTGTACAGTATCATGTAATAGTATACTACTTCATGAATAATATAAAAAAAAATTAAGTATATATTCCTATTTTTCTCCTTCATGCCCTTTCTACTACTGTCATATATTGATCTTTCAGCCAGAGGTTTATACCTGCACCTTTATCATAACTATAGGCCTATATTCAGTCTCTTGGGTGTTGGCTTATATATATCAGGGTTGGCAATAGTTTGTTGAGTTTTCTTCTTTTGTTATATCTCTTTTATCCCTTTTTCTTAACTGCACATTTGTTTTTAAGATCTCATTTGACAGATAGCACAGATAGCATTAGTTATATCTGTAAAGTTCCTTTGCCACATTATAACATAACATATTCAGTTCTAGGGTTGAAGGCATTGTCATCTCCTTTTGACAAGAGGGAGTGGATTCTTTCTCCACAAGTAAAGTAATTGAGATGGATGATTTACTGGATGAACTTTATAACAGATTAGAGAAGGCTTGATACCAGAGCATACAAATTAGAATTAGTGAATTTGAAGGTAGAATAGGAAAAATAGATGAAAACATGGCCTCACAGATAGTATCAAGTGACCTAATATGTACAAAATTAGAATCTAGAAGTAAAGGTGGGAGAAAAGGGTAAAAATTATGAAAAAATAATGATCAAATATTTCCGTATGGTTTTAATTTAGAAGTACAGTTTTCCTGGTATATGAAATTCAACAGAGTAGGCCAAGTGAGGTAATTTGTAACTGTAGTGTCATCTACTTGGGAGGTGGAGATTATGAGGCTCAACGTTTAGGGCTAGCTCCAGCAAAAATTTAGTAAGACCCATCTCAACAAATACACTGTGTGTGGTGAAATTTGCTGTGATTCCCAGCTATGCAGTGGCTGTAGATAGGAAGATTGCTATCTAAGTTTGACATCAGGCAAAAATGAGATCTTGTCTGCAAAACAACTAAGGCAAGCACTTGGAGAGTGGCTTAGGTGGTAGAATGCCTGCCTAGCAAGCACAAGGCCCTGAGTTCAAAACTCAGTAGTGCAAAAAGTTAAAAAAAAGAAAAGAGAATAGGTTATACCTCATTTAAAGAATGAAAGAGAAAATCTTAATGTTTAAGGGACACAAAATCATTGATAAATTCCATAGTAGTTTATAATTAAAAAATCACTTTATAACTGGACATGTTGGCACATGCCCAATTCTAGTACTTTGGAAAAGGGGAGGAGGATTTTGAGTTAAGACCAGCCTGGACTACATAACAAGACCCTAAGTCAAAAAACAAAACAACCTCTACAAACCAGGACTGGAAGAGAGTATTGTTATTGCAGTAAGTGTACAAAAATCCTCCAATATACTTGAAAGGCTTTTCCTTGAAATCAGAATGAGAGAAGGATGCCTGTTATTTCTGTTTTTTAAGTAGCATTTTACTAGAAATTCCTTTTGGTTGAATTGTGGAGAAAAATAGAATATTGAAAGCATTGGAAGGAGGACAGAACACTGTCTTTGTAGACAACATGTTTGAATAAAGAAAAAAGATTCAGAATAATCCATATATTTATTAGAATTAAAATGAATTTACCAGGGTTGTTAGATAGTCAGTCTCCAAAACAGTTTGTTTTTCCAATAATCAACTGATGAGCTAAAAGTTTGAAAAGTTATTATTAATGATTATAATAAAATCAGGAATGAATCTAGTAAAGATTATATGCATTACTACATATTATTTATTTAAAGTATGACCTGAATAAATGGAAATACATATCATGTTCTTAATATTGAAAGATGTCACATCCTAAATTGATCTGTGGATTCTATGACCTCTCTAATCAGCAATCTCAGTCAGCTTCCTGAAAATACCAAACAGAAATGCACACACTGTGTAATATGATATGTAGGAAAGGCTTAGAAAACTGTTACTTATAATAGCCTGAGTTGTAAGTACTCCAAAATTCTATCAGTGCTTGAATCAAAAAAAAAATGCCTTTAGTCAGATGCCTGTAGTTAATGCTGGTACTTACTCCCTACTCAAAAGGCTGAAATCCAGAGAATAGTTCTGGAGACTAAAATGTCCAAGAACCTGTTACCAGCATCTGGCGAGGGCTTTTGTTTTTTGTCATAACAATGTTAAAGCCATCACATGGTGAGAAACGATGCGCTTTTTTAACAAAATCTTTTT